AGTGAGATGAGGAGGAGGGAGATGGGGAGGAGGGAGGAGATGGAGGAAGAAGAGAGAAATGGGGGGAAGGGAAAAGACAGAGGAGGAGGGAGGAGATGAGGCGGGGGAGATGGGGTGCTGTGGTGGCTGCGGGAACGTGGCCAGGGCAGGGAAGGCTAGCTGGTGAAGAGGTCAGGTGGGAAGGCCTGGAGGGTGCTCCCGCCCTCCCTGCTACGTGCTCTCAGAGCAAAGCACCCACCTTGGCCATTTTGCTCTTGTTGTCAGCGGTCAGAAATGACATGTTGTTGATCTCATTCTGGACCACAAAGTTCTGCTCCTCACGCTTAAAGTTCTGGTGGGGGAGGCAGTGTCAGGATCAGACGGGGCAGTGAGGGTCATGGGAAGGAGGGCCAGGGCGGACGGGGACTCACGTGGGACTTGGACCAGTAGATGAAGATCTCGCCCACCATCCTGAACAGCTCCTCGGCGCTGGGGTTGGGCTCCGTCAGCCAGTGCGCCCTGGGTGGGCAGGGAAGGGGCCGGTGAGGGATGGGGGCAGGGACCCCCAGGAGAGGACGCCCCACAGAGAGCTCTCAGGGGAGGGGATGGGGGGGACCTGGAGATTCCAACGGGAGGGATGGGATGGAGTTTTCTAGGGTAAGCTGGCCATTCAGATGATCTAAACATCTTACCCATTCCTTTAAAAAAAGGAAGTCCTTTTTTCTATCTCTAACCTTTTTATTGAAGTATAACATAAAGTGTCAGCTTGATGGTTATCACAAAGTGAACACACTGTTGTAACCACCACCCAAGTCAAAAAATAGGGGCGCCTGGGTGGCTCAGTCAGTTAAGCGTCCGACTTCAGCTGGGGTCATGATCTTGCAGTTTGTGAGATCGAGCTCCAAGTCGGGCTCTGTGCTGACAGCTCGGAGCCTGGAGCCTGCTTCGCATTCTGTGTCTCCCTCTCTCTCTCTCTGCCCCTCCCCTGCTTGTGCTCTCTCTCAAAAATAATAAACACTAAAAAAAATATACGGGAATGCAAGCTGGTACAGCTACTCTGGAAAACACTATGGAGGTTCCTCAAAAAACTAAAAAGAGAACTACCCTTGACCCCGCAATGGCACTACTAGGCATTTATCCACGGGATACAGGTGTGCTGTTTCAAAGGGACACGTGCACCCCCATGTTTATAGCAGCACTATCGACAGTAGCCAAAGTATGGAAAGAGCCCAAATGTCCATCAACTGATGAATGGATAAAGAAGATGTGGTAT